ACATACTTTTTTGCCCCACTGTATCTTGTATTGAATCAGATCACTGGCCCATTTAGGCAGTGTTATCTATACCAACTGCAGTAGTTCTCAACATGTCTTTAGAGCAAGGTAGAAAGTAGGGACCAGCAAATCTTGCACAGTCCAAAGGAGACAAGGATCGTATAACTGAAGAAATAGAGTTGGCAAGACATTGTAAGAAGGAAGCTTAAGTGGGAAGGGAATACATTGAACTAAAAAGTAACGGGAAAACCAATGTTTTAGTGCCAGTCTTCCATATATGCCTAATTAGTAATTGCAAAGTATGATCTGCACTCAAAAGGTCATGCTGGCATTAGGTGCAGAACACAACACTCTTAACAGGTATATGCAGTCTGTGCCATACCATAAAAATACTGAATATGTAATTAACTATAACTGATTTTTCACTACTTACTTTTTTTAAAAAATAGTCATTTAATCTTCAGAGCGTTACATAATGTTCTGTCCAATGCTGGCTATCAACTAGAGAATGAAAACTTTTGGCAGAAGTTATTCCCCTTACTTCTTGCATCTTCTCCTGTGTGCATGTTCTTTGTGGTACAATCGGTAAACCAAGGTATTTTCTTCAACATATGGCATCACTTTTTTTGCTTAGGCTTCTGACCAAATGGACTATTCTGACCCAAGAGTTGCAAACAGCCATGAAAAGGGTTTTCTACACCTCTGCTGTAGAAGAATGGATAGAAGAGAATGTCCAGCCAAGCCTTCAGAGACTTCAAGGAACAGTAGATGATCTGAATTGTGCAATACAGGCACTGTCATAGCATTCTGATATATGGCTTTGCTAATCAGAAACCCAATTTACAGTTAGAATCAAGCAGATAAATAAGGGGGATGTCCAGATGAATTTTAACAAGCTTGGCATTATGATGAAAGTTTGAAGTTATAACAGATTTGAGTCTTCTTCCTCTCATGGTTCTACAAGTTCTTCTGTGTAAAGGTAAACACAGTTTAAAACCTGTGTCTTTTAGGGCTAATTTAGACTTTCCAAATTAAATAAATCATGCAGACATTTTATCTTTTAAATAAATCTTTAAACATGTTGCACAGTCCACCTATTAGTATGCTTAGAATACTTCCCCTGAAGTGTGAGAAAGGTGAGTATAACCTTTTTCTCTCTTAATACTAGAATGGTCAGGCTTCTTCTAATTAAACTTAGTGGTGGGACATTCAGGACAGAGCAAAGGGAGTATGTCTTCACACAACCAAGAATTTAAAGGAATTCATAAAAAATATGATAGTGAGGATTATCATAGAGATAACTTAAAAATGGGCTTGTACAAATTAACAAAGCAGAGGACTATCACTGACTACATAGCATCAAGATAGAGAGATATCTTCCATTTAACTAAGACTTATATATTTACAATTATATCGGCAAGTCTAAAATGCTGATAGTAGAAGTTGCTACTGAGCAAACCTTGCATCTGCTTTTACACAGCTTCTGGAAGCTGAACCTTTAGTGATTTGAGCATGTAAAGTACCAACTTTTCCTTTTTTGCCAGACATTTAATACAGAAAAAAAAAATTGCAATTTTGTTAAAGTCATACTTCTCACAGAACTCCAAATAGGCATCTTTCCAATTTAAGTATTAAGGTTTATCCCAGCAAGGACTTTAATAGTGCTTTCCAATAAATTAAAATGTCTGGCCGAGGTTGGTTTACAACCCAAATGTTTATTTTTAGAAATAAATGTTGAACCTAGACTTTGTTCAGAAGTATATATAAGAACAGTGGCCTGCCTGATCCTGGGCAGAGATAGCAATCACATTTCCAAGAGTTTCTCAGATTACTTCCAACAGAATCTCTTAATATTGACCCAGAATAACCATCTGTAGTTGAGTTCTGAGATGAATGATGAGCATTAGGTTCCCATGTACCAGAACAGGTGACAGCCTTATGCCTCAATTTCCAGATGCAGCTCAGGTTCCCTGACCATCTCAACGTCACAAGCCTGTGTTGGATGCTCTTTGATATGGAATCATTTGCTATTTTAATTTTCTAACTATAATCTAGTTTGGATGGATATTTCTTCTACTCCGTCAATCTCAGTGAATTGTGAATGATTATCCAGTTTTTTAAAAACTTAATTTTACTTAATTTTGCAGGAAAAATTTTTTCATTTATAATGCCCTAACTCCAATAAACAAGTACTTATAGAATGGAGGTTACAACTTTTCCTAAACCATTGTTATTTTTTAAAAGCCAGAGGTTATTTTAAAAAGGAAACATTAAAAATGTTTTACTATAGTATTTGAATATCTGACAAGAAATATCAATACTGAATACGAAACAGTGCAATAATTTTTGAAGTATACAACAATTGAAAAACCACTTTATAAAGCAGAACCACTTTCCAACTGACATCTTAACACCTCTTAAATTACAGGATTTATCTGAACAAACACGTCTTTTTGACAAATATTTACACTGTTCTGGTCCAAGATACTTAGAAAATGATTAAAATAAAAATTGTTCAAGACAATCAATATACTTTAAGAATTTCTAGAATATGATGTATCTACTTTTTAAATCTGGAAACCAGGGAAAGACCCTAACACCTTTTTTAGTTTAATAAAACGTACTGGATAAATCATTTTGATATTTATTATTTATCTTTAAAAAAAATTCTAAACAGGCTGATCTCTGACATACGCAATTTTTCCCAATTTTTAAAATAAAAATCCATAATTTAAGTATCTATTTAGACTGGATGTTTCCTTTGAACTGTGGTAAAATAAAAATGAAATAGGGACATTATTGGTACTTGGCCACAGTAGAAAATGAAATATAATCACCATCAAACTAATGTTAGAAAAAATGTATATAATAATGTGAATCATGAGCTGAAGACACACACATAGGGACACATACACACACATACATACAAGCTTTCCTTGTGCTTATCAGTTTTAAGGATGCAATATCAAACGTGGTTCCTATGGGCAGGCTAAAAATAACATACCACAATCAATCAAGCCAAAGATGTGTTTTTGAAAAGCTGGATTCCAAACATTTGATTTTTGCTCTCTACCTTTTGGAATTTACCATAGTCATTGACTATCATTACAGACTCACGTCACCTCTGTGGGCAGTGATTAGAGAGCTAGCTCTGGTTGGAATCCCAGTTATGTCCTTTTCTAGACAGGGACAACCTAGCTGTACTGTTGATCACACAACAGTAACTACAACTTTAATTAACTACAAGTGGGAGCCAAGTTTTGTTTTGAACAACTTCGGACCAGGACAAATTTCACTTGCAATTACAGACCTTGTCAATCAGATAAGATAATTGAAAGAGGTCCTGCTGTATGTAACATGTCTATAGCTTGTCAACTGGTAATTACGTGCAGGTGGGTCTTCTCTGGAGTTGTTCTTGCTCTCTGAATGTTCTCCCCCTTTTGTTTAGGTCCAAATCTGGGTGTAACGCAAAACTAGTTTGCTCTGAGATATAAGCAGAAGCTTTTATACTGCTCCTCCTGCAGAAGTGCAGTTGTTGAGAAACAGCACGCTCCACATCTGAAGTCTATGAACCAATACTCTCTCTGGAAGATCTATTTTACTGAAATTTAAAAACAATCAAAATGAGCACAGAAGGGGAAAGAAATAGCTGGGCTCAAAACGCATCAGGAATTAGATAAACATTTAAATGATGTCCAAACCGTATTCCCTCTGGTTACTCTGAAATCACATTTGAGAAAATTTCAGTTAAAAGATCCATTGGGCTAGAACATATGGAAGACTTTTAAACTCCTTCCTAAGTGTTGCAAATCTCTCTCTGCTTAACATTATATACAGGAAGCTAACAATTAAAAAGTAATTTCTAGAACCTAAGAAGGGTTCAAGTTTTATACCATTCAGAGAAGGTTTGGTTTCCATGTCTTGGACTTCATGCAACTATTTGTCCTTGGCTTGATCTTCGTAATCACTAACATCTGTTTCACTACTGTTATCAAGGCATTCTTCAATCGGCAACTCATTCAGTTCAAGGAAGCCAATAATGAGGTTGGCCACAGCTTCGACATCACTAGGAAAGAAAAAAATAGGCAAGATTTAATGAATCCAGTGCCTGCTTCAGCTGATCATGAAAGTATGCAACTTTCAGCATCCATCTAGTAAAGGCAAAACATTTGGAAGTATAGCAAAATCTCTTGTTTGTTTGAAAGGATATCACAGGGTTTTGTTATTAACTTTTGCTTTCAAACTAGATTAAGTTTCGATCAGATATCACAAAATTATTTTAAGCAATAATGAGTTAATTGTATGGGTTTAAGATACCACTTGGCTTCCTGATGTATAATTAAGAAGTATTACATTAGTTTACTTGAAGCACTATGCCTTTCCTGCTAATCTACCAATGTAATGGCTAATAAAGCAGCTGGATGGGAAATAAAAGGTGTGAAAAAGTGGTAGAACAATTTCAGAAATGTGTGTCTTTATTTCTCTGCAGATATATATATAAGGTTTTTAAAAAGTGCCTGCATGCTAAGCTACATGTTCCATAGCAGACATAATAAAACCTAAACTCATTTTAATTGAAGAATTGAAAACATTAACTACATATTTCTGACATTTACACTTACAAATTCCAAAATAAAGTACCCTTAACAAGTTCATTCTGGAATATATTACAGTCATGAAAATGCCATCAGATTTTGCTAAATAACTTTAACCAGAATATGTAAGTTAGTACACAATTGAAGAATTTGAAAAGAACAATAATAACAAAAGAATAGGTTTTTGAGAATGTGATTTCCCATCTCAGGTTAAATGATGCCTCCTGACAAATTCTAATTAATCACAAAGGGGAAAGTTCATACTATACCTTCTGCAGTTTATCACTGCACTCTGTGTCAGAGGGTGTGAAAATCCAGTGCCAAATCGCAATACAATTAGGTATCCCTTCCCAAAGTAACGAACCTTCTCTTCTTCCACATTCACAGCTTGTATTTCTTCCAATGGAACAACCACTACTTGCAAGGAACAAACACTGAATTGTCAGTAAAATAATGCCAAGCAATACTAGGTACAATTCCACACCAAAACTTAGTAAAAACCATCTGGATCCTCTCTCATGCCATCAACTGCCTCCTATTAATCTTAGGGCCAAAAGAGCTAACAAGGATTGACCCTAGGTAGGACAGTTTCCAAGCCCTTCATCAGAAAATAGTGGCATAAATTCTCTTCCCCCTCCTGCAACTCAGGTTTCTCCTCCCAGCACATTTGTATGATGGTTTGTAGATTTCGTGGCAAGAACAGAATTCATTATTCATGCTGTGAGAATCTTTTGTAAAACAACAACAGACTCCAAGATCCCTCAAAGGATATATCCTATAATCATGCATTTAGTTTCTGTAGTTGCCCTTTCATACCAAAATGATTACTAGCTTAGAAACATGCCATTTTGATGTTAATATTTGTTCTTTGGGAATCAGATGAATGTTTTCTTTCATTTCAGTTTTGAGGTTTTGTTAACATTAAAAGAACAGAGGAGTTGTCTAGTTCCACCCCAACTATTACACAAGGAATTCTATAGTTTAAAGATTTAAATATGTGTGTCATCAAAATCCTGTGAAAATCTACACTGTTGTATAGTAAAATTTCACTGCTTTCTTGTGCACTGCTTGACAGCAATATAAAGCAAATATGGTCTTAGTAGCTGTAAGCAATCTGTGGGCTGAAAACATGTGCAACCATTCTGGTACTCTTGCAATCACTACATAAAGACTGTTTCAAGTTGAGTTCAACTTCTGGTGCCTACAAGGGCGTATTGATGGCGTTTTCTTGGCAACGGTATGAAAGTGGCTTGACAGTGCTTTCTAGGATGTTTCTTCTTCAACATTCTTATCTAGCTGATAACTGTAGGGTCCCCTTCCAAGTACTAACTAGGTCTAATTCCGCTTAGTTTTTTTCAAAGTCAACCAAGGTGATACAGGTGCTGCCCCACCATACAAGGACAAAATGAGTAGTGGTCTAACTCCAAAGTCTCAGCAACCATTGGAAACAAACAAACAAAATACCAGTCATTATGATAGCAAGAATATTTAATCTCAAAACCAAACAGAACACTGAACAGAGATTTCTGACAATCTGAATTTGGTTTTCGCAGGATTATGAAGAAATCATAATTTTCTTTAGGTTTAGCAAAAGCAAAATTTTAACCTGCCTAAGCAAATAGGTTAAAGAATCACAGTTATGGGCACAGCTAAATATTCTTTACTACAATATGCATACATGCTCAGGAGTCAAGAAAATACCTTATTTACTTTCTTTCTCTAAAACATGCACCATACTAACAGAAACACTTGTTGTTTTACCTTGTTCATGGCCAGCTCTTGAAAAGGTCAGCAGCTTTTTGTAAAGGCTGAATGACTTTAAGTAAACTTTTCCTGCATCTTTCTGAAATATAGCTTCCTATTTAAAATAAATAAATCACCTTATGAAGCCATTTATTGGTTGAGAGGAAAATAATTGCTTTTTTCAGACAAGTGTAAACGTACCATTGTTTTTCTATAACAATTAGTGTCAACAATTTAAATAGTAAATATATAACAGCTATATAATGACAGATAATCACTCCAAACCTCTGGATTATGTAAATAAATTTACTCTCAGATTCTCTTCAAAAAGTACAATCTACTGAATCTCATACTTTCCACCAAACTTTTTTATCTCCCACTTTCAGAAAAACGGGGGGAAAATAAACTCTGATTGTTAGTTGCTCATTCTGCTTACTTTCTGAAGGATGAAGTTTGTGTTCTTCAGTTACTAGATCAGAAAATCCAGTGGATTGATTTTTAGAAGGTGGATCCTCATGGCCAGTCCTGCCTTTTCTAATCTATGAGAAGGCGTTGTAGATTCAAAAATTGCCACATGTGTTGCTGTATGGAAATCCCTCCCTCCCTCCAATGGTGAAGATTCCCAATACCCATCTTTTTACCTTCCGCTGGAGGCTGCCAGCTGCTGTGCTTTTGCAAAAATGTGGTTGGACTCAACTGAACTAAAGGCTACTTGAGGTCATAAGATCAAATTCTGGTTTCTTTATCTTTGCAACCATTTGCTTTGAGCTTCTGGACTCAGATACTACTGTTTCTTTTGATTCAGGCATATACTATTTTGATTAGCTGTAGTCAGTTCTACCTGTGGGGATCCACTGGGCATCATACACCACTGATCTGAACCATGAAAAAGTTACATAAGTTTCTTGAACATCTGTATTGCCTCACTCAAACCTCCAGGTATTTCAGAAGACACCAAAGATGAGTTCCAAAGAGAAATTCATTCATTCAAAAATACAATCCTGCACACACACAGAAATTATCGAGAAATACAGGCTGCATTAACTAGAAACCTTGGATGAACAGTATTCCCACTGAGTTGTATAAAATATTTTATGGAATATCTGAACCTCAAACTGGGTTGCTCCAATCTTGGAATGGCTATTTCCTACTTGTTTTGAGTCTGAAATAAGCCTTTCTGATATATTGAATCACTTCCAGAGCAACTGGAATAGCTTTTTTCAAAGCCAGAAGCACTTTTCGGTCAGACAAGTTTGAGAACAATCGATTCTGGATTCAGCACATTCCATTATTGAACATTTTGTCTTTCCCCAATTTAAATCTGGCCAACAAAACCAACTTTCTTTGTAACACATTACAGTACTTACCTCCCACTCCTCCAGATTTTGCACAGCTACAAAGAGACAGCCAGCAAGATAAAAAAGTTTCCATCCCAAGCTATCTGAATAACATGAAATAATACTTCAAATTAGGAATGCATTTCTAAATTATGTTTCGTTTAAATTATTTACAGGCTTTAAAGTATGGCTGAAGGTAAAAAATAATTAACAGTAACATAAAACTAAAAGCAGAACGTGTAAGAGTAAAGACTAATTTAAAGCCAGCCAATATTAAGATCAATAACAAACTGCTTTTAGCAGCTCACTAAACATTCCTTAATGCAAGGCTGATGAGAATAAATGTATGTTTCAAAAAGGTTGTAATGGTAGAAGCTGATGCGTTCTAGCTGGTAATAATGTTTGAAACTGGCAATACACAGACAAGAAGAAAACAATGGAGGAAACTGTTGTGCAAGGTCTATCGAAGCAAATACCATGAGCTGCCATGTAAGAGAGAATTGGAAGAGGAAGGCAAAGACACCATCAAGACTTGCTCTTACATTAACAAGGAATTGGTCCTTTTGCCTGTAACGTTTTTAGAAGAAACTAATAAGGTGAGCTGTTCATTGAAATCAACATTTTAACATTTCCCCCTTTCCTCTCTTCCTGTAGGTCCAGGAATGTGTTTTATGACGGGTTGTCTAGGAAAAAATGGGAATATATACAGTACAGAGTTTAGAACTGCAGCTAATTCTTCTTGAGCCTGCTGAATAGGGCACAACACAAATCAGAACACAATAAATTTAAAGAATGGCAGAGAAAAATGTGTGTTTTTTTAAAGATATCATTAACAAGGAACTAAATTTTTCTAATGAATCTACCTTCGCTATAATAAGCAGCAGCCAAGCCAACAGAGGAAATTCCTATAGAGAAAAAAAAGAATTAATTTACAATTTAAATCTACTACTTAAATATCCTCAACGTTAAACTATATAAAAATATAAGATTATGTTTGCACTGAGCGATTTTAATTAAATTAACTTTAAAAGAACAATCAAAGAAAATAATTTATTTTAGCTATACTCTTGAACTCAATACAATGACTGCTATTTAGGTACAAAGATACAAAGCATGCTGGATATCTAAATGACTAAAACATATCTGGTGCTTTAGAGCTAGCTAACATAAAATATACACACCACCTTCAGAGTTAGCCCAGTTCCATATATCCATTTGATTACGCATCTGACTCATTCTAATATTTTAGAGACTAGTGAAATCTTTAACGTTTTAAAGATTTCATTACACCTGTTCTAGAAGAAAGACACTGAAATTCTCTCTCTGACCTGAATCTCCCACTATTTTTCCCTGCTAAGAGGATTCGGCAAAGGATTAAAATATAATAATGGAAGGACAGTTAGAAATGGATAGTGCCAACCATTGCATTATCTTGCTTGTATAGATATAATCTTGATTATACTGTAAAGCCTTCCTGAATCAACTCAAATAACTGTTTGCCAGTAATAGAATGATTCTATGGAAGTCATATTAGAATAGCGAGGGATTCTCAATAAATACATCTCAGGTTAATGTATTGTCGAAGGCTTTCACGGCCGGAATACAATGGCTGATGTGGGTCTTCTGGGCTGTATGGCCGTGTTCTGGAAGTTTTGGTTCCTAACGTTTCGCCAGCATCTGTGACTGGCATCTTCAGAGGACAGGAGCACAGAGAGAGCACAGAGAGGACCGCTCCTGTCCTCTGAAGATGCCGGTCACAGATGCTGGCGAAACGTTAGGAACCAAAACCTCCAGAACACGGCCACACAGCCTGGAAGACCCACATCAGACATCTCAGGTTAATTAATTAATTTATTTATATATCGAATTCGTCACCACCCATCTCGTTAAACAACTTAATGACTTGCAGTCAAAGTTCTGATTAACATTACAATCAACATACAAAATCCAATTCCGCCTATTCAAACTGTTGCCCAGGATATGAGAACAAGCAATCCTTACTATACTTGCTGCAGAGTCTCCAGCCGGGAATAAGGGAGTAATAAATGGCAAAGTTGACTCTTTTCTTTTATGGACATGTCATTTGAGCTTTGTTTTAGAAGTCTGGGAGAAACAGGCTGATGATGTCTTACCTACAAGGACAGACCAAGATCTGATGCCAGGGAATCTCTTCAAGTGAAGGAGTGAGTTTGAATGACTTTCGACCTGCATATACATCTTTGGCAGTGGGTAGGGATCTACAGTGCCACAAAGCGCTCACAAAATCTAAAGAATAACAAGGCAGGAAACCAACTTAAGTCATTGTTTTCGAGCAAACTGCAGTTTGGCAGAAACGATTCTCCACACAACTGCTCATGCTTCCAGCATTTTCTGCTATATGAACCAAATGCATTGTTTTTTGGAATACGAACAGCACCAAAGCCCTCCGTCCCTACCCTCCAAGCCAACAGCAAATTGAAAAACTGCGTTATATTTCTTTTCTGCTTAGGGCAGAACTTGTCCCTCCAGCACCGACATTTCCTTTTAGAAGGCACGTGCGTTTTGAAAGTGCAGTTGGCAAACGGGAAGTAAGGACAGTGGGTTTTCTTCCTCCCTTCACCGTTCGTGCTGCACCGCCAGCAGTCCATTCTAGGCAGTACAGTACAATCCTGAAGAGCCGAAGTGGTCCAGCGCCCTTCTCTCGCTCCCTGTGCAGCCTTCAGACGTTACTCTTCCGTGCACGCCCTAGCCCCTCAGCCTCAGCCCCGCGAGCTTCCCCCTCTTGGTCCTCCCGTCCCTTCCGCTGCAGTTCGGAGGGCTGCGCTGCACCGGGTCTCTCCGTCCCGCGGGCGCCCGCATCCTCGCCAAGCTCACCGAAGTCACCGCCCAGCGCGTTCCCGAAGTCTTCCGGGCGACAAACGCGATGCTGGGGAATCATAGAGTTAAGTCAGGCAGATCGCTACAGTCCGCTGTAGAGCGTGTTTTCAAACGTAGGCTGCGCCTCAAGTTCTATAGAAGTACGCAAGATAGAGTCGCACACAACGCTCACTTCCTTTTCTGATTAGGGGTTTCTAAATGCCAGGCAGGAATTGCAGAAGCTCTAAGAAGGCAGAAGAGCTGAGAGAATATAGGAAAGACTCGAAGCAAGCGTGACCATCGCTCGCTGCCTTGTTTCCTACACGGCTTTGAGTCCTCACACGTTAGGCAAACGAGTAAGGAGGGCACGGTGGAGCGATTTTATCAAGGGAGACTGATAATTTTAGATTTTGTATTTATATGTTGTTTCTTTGTTTTTAGTTTTGTGTTTCTTTTTAATTTATTGTGTGTTTATGTTGTACGCCACTCAGTCTGTTGGGCAGCCTTATAAATCTTTAAATAAATAAGTTAGTTCTTGGCGCATCTGCTGTAAATTAGGAGGCATTCATAGTACATTATGCTAAGTTAATGTAGCTTGGTTGATTTTTCACTTTATGCAGTGTATTAACTTCCCAGTTTTGGCTCATGGAAGAAACAAATCCTCTCAATTGGGCACAGTTGTACAGATGGCAGAGTCAGAAACCATCCTCAAATGCCTGTGATTTGATGCTGATTTTGATGCTCTCATTCCTTTTTTGCCCATCAAAATGTTTTCACTTTAGCCCAATGAGTTTGGGCTAAATATTTCTGGCAAAAACTTGTTGAACAAGAGATTTTATCACTAGTGTCATGCAAAACAGGGAAAGAGACAAATTTCATATTTAAAAAATGCAAAGTCAAGAATATTCTTTTATTATGTGGAACAGACTTTTTTAAAAGAATTCATCCGTTGGCAAGAAAGAAGATGATTTAACCATGCAGTGAATTTATCCCATAGTTATTTCTGGGCTTGAGTGAAAATTTTGGGACAAATGTTATATATGAAGGACATAAATGGAAGCATATAAAACCTTCTATGAAATAACATAGTAGAGTGTTTATGGTTACAATATAGCTACATCTTTAACACAGATTAATATGCACATTGTGACCAAAGGTATATCATTCATTCCATCCCAGACCTCAAAATTCCCAGTGATCTATACAATTCCAGTCCCTTTGTTCCTCAGAGCTAATTAGTTATATCACAAACATGAAATTTTCAGTCTGACAGATGTAAGTATTGGTACACTTATTTGTTTGTTCACATAGTGTATTTACTGCTTCAGTCCACGTGGTTTTAAGACAGTGTACAGGTACTACTAATAAAACAATACAATTGTAATAATAATGAATACTATAAGCAATAAAACTATTTGATGCTAATGATACACTATCAGTCCCAAAGGCCTTCCAGAGGAGCCAGGTTTTTACCACCTTCTACAAGGTCATAAGAGTGGGGTAATGAATGGAGACTCATGGAGTAGATGGTTCAAAAAGAGAGGAACCCCCAAAGAAAATGCCCACCAACAAGCCCCCTCCTGTCAATCTCTTGATAGGAGGGGACTCTAAGGAGGTACTCTTTAACCAGGTTAGGTAGGCAGACTGCATCTGGAAAAGGTGGTCTCTTTGATTCCCAGGCCCCAAGCCATATAGGGCTTTGTAGCTAGCAATCAGCATAGTATTGCACTTGGAAACACAGTTGCCAGTGAAGCTCCTGAAACAGCTGTGTAAAAGGGCAGTACTGTGACCAACCAGTGAACACCTGGGCCAGTGCACTCTGGTCCAACTGAAGTTTCTGGGTGGTCTTCAAGGGCTGTCTCCCATAGAATAAATTACAGCAGTCTAGTCAAGAGTTGACAAGGCATGAGTGACTGTCCTTAACATGTCCTGTTCCAGGCAAGACTGCACTTGACATACCAGCTGGAGCTGGAACAAAGCCTCCTAGCCAGATCTTCCACCTGCGCTTTTAGCAGTAGCCATGGAGGATCTCCAAATTGCAAGCTTGTCCTGTAGGGGAGTATAACCATGAAACCTCCCTTGGTGTCAAGGGAAGATCATTCTGCTGTCTTGACAGCAAACTTTTTTTTACTGTAAACCTTCCTTAAAGCCGTGGTTTCTCTTTAGACCTGCAAACAATTATTAAATAGGGCCTGATTCAGTATCTTGCACACCTCAATCCAACTGCATAGATATATTTGCCCAACAGGAACATAAGCTGAAGTATATTGTAACACATCATAAGGCAAACAACAAAGAGTTCAAAGTACATGCAGGTACTGATGGAACAAAGGTTACATTTAAAAGCTCACATATCCAAACTTCCCAAACAAATTAACTTTGAGACATCCTAAGGGCAAAAATAAGGAATGTTCTCCTATCAATCTAGTTTGAGGAATGTGAATTTCTTTTCAACATTTTAATAGTTGTTGTTATTTAGCTTTATAGAGATGCCAAACCAAAAAGACTAAAGAAGAGTACAGAGTTACAAATATCATAAAAAAATACATGAGCCAATTCAGAAAACTAGCATATTGGGGAAATTCCAATCACCCATTGTTGACCTGGCAGGATCCCAAATTGCCGCAGCCTCCAGCCTATTCGAAAAGTAACATTTTTGAAGCTTTTTATAAGGATAGTAGAGTCAGGGGCAAATGATCCTTGGAAGGAATGGTATTCCAGAGGGCAGGGACAGCAGCAAAGAAGGCACACCTCTGGGCTTCCAAAAGATGGCAAGAGTTTTATTTATTTATATTTCAAATTTGGACACGGCCCATCTCACAAGTTTAGCTGATAGAACAAGTGGAAACAATTGGAGAAAAGGCGGTCCTGTAAATTACCAGATCCTGAGCCAAGAAGGGTTTTATAGATGATACCCAGCACCTTGAACTGCATCCAGAAACCAGCTGATGACCAGTGCAGCTCATGAAGTAGATAGATCACATTTGCATACTGAGGAACACCCATAACTAGTTGTGCAACCGCATTCTGGTCTAGCTGTAGTTTCCAAGCAGTCTTCAAGGGCAGCCCCACATACAGCACATTGCAGTAGTCCAAATTTTTAAAGCTGATTCTTAGCAGTTATCTGAAGACCATGATCTTTTGTTTAGAGAAATCCAGGCTGTTTTAGCTATTTTCTTTTGCCAGTTTCCTCCACCTTTCTCAGAAATTAGGAGCTCCTCAACCCTAATGTACTATTTTCTAGGCTGCTTTATTCAGTGATAAAAGGCAAAAAGCATTCAGTCTCCTGGGGGTGTTTGCCATGTAATAAAGTGCAGCATGTTCTAAATAAACAAGCTAAAGGAACCAAGGAAACAAAGCCACAAAAATCCAGAGAAAAAGCTAACACATATCAATGTATGCCTAGCACATCACATGCACATTAATGGATTCATTGTAGAGATTAAAAATATTTCAGATATGGATTCTAAAATTTGAGTAGCCCTTTAACCCTTGCCGGAAAATGATATTTTGATTCAGTATTATGAAAGACAAATTCATTTGCCCAGTACTTGGTTACAAGCCATCTTTTTATCACATACCCAAGGAAGAACACTTTTAGCCTTGCTTATGTGTGCGATATGAAATTGTGCATTGACCATAACGAGGAATTAGCTTTTCTGAAGAGCAAGAAGAACTAAAGCAAAGAATAAATGTCATCTTCCCAAACATACAGTACATCTTTTCAGTTTTGTTGGGACTACAGTGCCCAGTATCTCCAGTAACCAGGAAATGTAATATTTACATTTGCAAACTGGTTACAACGGCATACTGCAATTGTATGACTTCTGGAGCTCCATTAAGCCAAGTGTATGGAACATTCCAATGTTACCATCACTCTTCGGCAGGAGGCCCATTTCTTTTTCAGCCCAAGCAAGTTTTTAGAATTTGTTCCAGATAAACTCAGAAAAAGGGAAAGGCAAGAAAACTGTAAGCTTATGATGGTTGGTAAGTCCCTTAGTCCAGTGCCTTGACCTGGACAAGATCTGGGCCCCCACAACATCCAACAAGGGCAAAAGGCTGTGCAAATTAGATTGGAGGATTGGTTTGAAGACACAAGAAAAATACCCCTAAAAGAGACAACTAGAAATCATGAATAAGCCAGAAGGGAGAAGTCAGACTCGATCTCTTAGTGTCTCAGGGATTGGGGGAAATGTAATTGTGGATAGAACCTGTATTCTCCCAGTGCTGCCTCTTGTTCTCCAAGTGCACTATTAAAAAAAATCATCATCACCATCATCACCACCACCATCATCATGGCGAGGTGATTTTCGCCTTTCTGACGCAAGGGGGCGCTGGTCCTTGCTTGCCACGCCAGTGCCCGGAGTACGTGACAGCTCTCAGGTCTACAATGAACGCCGGCGAGCGGCGGGGGAAGAGGGAGGACCAGCGAGACTATCTCAAAAATAGGAGAAAAAAAGAAGAGCGGTTTGCATCGCGTTTACTGTCATTTCAGGACGCCCCCGCCCTCCGCCCGTGCCCCGTTCCACCCCCCTTCTCCTCTGACCATAGCAGTCCGCAGCGGGGGCTCGCGCTAAGTCCTCCTAGGCATGCCCTTTGTGACTTAAGGGGATTAACCGCAAGGTACTGTGCCTGCTTTTGTTTCCTCCCCTCCCCTCCCCTCCCCTCCCCTGCATGCGGGGGTGCCTTTTTCTGCCGCGGCGGGCACAGGCGTCGCTTCCCCGCCCGGGCTTCTGCTCTGGCGGGCGACGAGTACGGACCGGCGACGGCCAGCGGAAGGAGGTTCCTCACTGCAGGGTTTGCGCGGCATTGGCAGCAGTCGAGGGCGCCGCTCATCCCGCCACCCGCGTCGCGTGTAATCCCCGAGATGAAATGCACCACCTGGGTTGGTCCTGTTAATGGGAGAGAGACGGTATTAAATGCTTAAGCGGGGAAGACCTCACAGAAGAGAACTACTATTATGGGTTTGGTATTAGGAGGGGGGAGAGAGGCAGGTGAAGGGAGCCAACCCGCGCTTCAAGCCAGCGGAGCTAAACCCTCATGAACCTCTGCACGTTTTTGCTGGAGGAGCTAGAGGCGCAAGAGTCAGTGTGTCAGTTGTGTAAGCTGAAGAGTCATGCACATTGCCGAATCTCTCTCGCAGCATCCCCTGCTCTTACACACCCTTGGCATTTGCCACTGTAAGGGTGGGCTGACCAAAAGCTCTCAGCTACTGTGGAATCAGGTGCACCTCAGTTGTTGTAAATCAATTTGCTCTGCTTCTGTAAAAATGCAAGCTGTACCTAAATCCTGGGATGCTGGGCACTTGCTTGTGTGCATCCTGCTTGGTCAGTTGATAGGGATTATGCACAGTCAGGGGTCACAAATGACCCTTACTTGCAACTGAGTCCTGCTGTTTGACCTTCAGAATTCGGATGGGATCAGGCATGTTTTGTGGAGCTGTGATCTGATGTAAGGTTGTTGTAGGAACACCTGTGGCCAGGTAGCATCGGACTCTGGCTTCTCTCAGCACCACCCAGAAAGCAAGATTGTTGAGGATTGTAGTCCAGCAACATGATTGGTATGGCCACAGGCTCCACACTCTCAGCATAAAAAAAGTTGGGACCTGGAGGGTATCAGGGGTGAGACGATGTCCTGTGGATCTGTCATATAGCATTAGGGCTGTCTTGAAGTACTCTTCTTCCATTAGTAGCAGAATGTCTCAGTGTTGATAAAGTGTTTAAAAGAAGCTGGCTGTCTTGTGCTTTGGTTACTTGGTGGACAGTCCCACTGTTGTGCCACATGCAAGAGTGACTTATACTTCCATGTACAATACTGTTTTCATGTCTGACATTTGAAAGGCAGTCATATTCATTCCTGTGAAGAAGAGTTTGCTAAAGTCCTTCTGCTCTATGAGTGAATCGTCAAAAGTGCCTGACACATTTAGTTTACACACCTGCACACAACTTCATTTGTCATCTCATGGTCATCCTTGGCATGCTATTAAATAAAAGTTGGTGGAAAGTTTTCCCTCCTTGCCTTTTGCCCACTCCTCTCTGGGCTTGAAAAATACATCTGGCTGTAAAGCCAACCATTTGCTCAGGTTCCCATAGCAAAGAAGCAAAATGTTGTGCTTGTGTTCACGAAGCAATAAAATCGTGTATCCTGGAGCTAATCATTGACAGGAAACGAAAGGTATTTTAGTTTGACAGATTTTCCACATCACGAGAGTTGAGAAGGCAGTTGTTGTTGTTTTCGTTAGTTCTGCAAAGAGAGGATTAAAAACTTCCACTTTTCAGCACAGATGGGACTGGCAGCTGAGCAGTCAAGTGGTCCCTCCTTCAAAGTTTCTTATTGGCCCTAGAAAGTCTCATTCAAAAGAAAGTGTAGTTAAAATACGGCTGAAAAACTGGGATAAGAATGAGGGAAATCCTCTACAGCTCTTCTGCTGTTTTTTATCGTTCCAGACAGGTGGAAAGCAGGAGCATTGGCTTCTTTATCTAAAGACAACTGGCATTTCAAGAGAGACCCAAATTTGCCATATAAAAAATACCAAAGAAAGACCTACCAATGAAGTGTGAAAATTGCACCAAAAAGGTGAGTCTTTTTTTAATGATTTATATCATGCTACAGTCCCAATGCACAACTACTGGGGAAGTAACCTTGAGCCAGTCATTGTCTCTCAGGCCTCTCAAGGTGGGTATAGTGGGGAAAAATAGGAGAGAGCACTAAATATGCTGCCTTGAACTCCTGAATGAATGGCAGGGTGTAAATCTAATACATACATACATAAAGAAACCTGTGTAGCTTCTGCAAACAAGCCCCATGGAACTTCCTGAAACACATTTGCAAATAGACATATGAAGCTTTCAGCTGTTGTTGTCATCGTTATTCCTCCTACTTTTCTGCCCAGAAAGTAATCGGTAGTGATAATTAAAAGTAGCCTATCTAGACAGAGAAGATTTGCTTTTAATTTCTAAAACTTGGTTTACAAATTGGAGAAAAAGCACATAATTGTTGGTTGGGATGAGGAGTGCTATAAAATAATTTATCTCAGAATTTCAGTAGATTAAACCAAAGGTATTATGGAACCTTTTACTTATCACTACTATGGTGTACATGTTGAAATCACAAAAATAGATTGCTTTTCAACTCTGTACAGCTGTCTTCCCCATACTGTGCCTTCCAAGTGTCTTGGACTTCAACGTGGTCATACTGGCTGGAAATTACAGAAAGATTTGGAGGATACCAGCTTAAGGGAAACTGTATACATTTATAGTTTCTGTATAAGTAAGAAATAAATGGGATCAGTGCTTCAGCTGTTTAACTTCAGAATCTCCATGAATTGCATAAGTTAATTTCTTACTTTCTATAGTGTTCAGAATTTTAATTGACCAGAACAATAGTCTTTTTTGATGTTAGGCCCCTGTGAATGTAGGAATGATAATGCTGTAAGAAATTTGGAACCTTTTCTCCTATTAAGTGGGAACAGGATGGGACAGGCTCAGCTCCTACATGTATATTGTATGCTGACCTTGGATTTTGTAGTTCTAGCTACTTGTAGTTTATCACAAATGGTATTTCTTCACAGTCTCACCACTTGTGTGGATGGGCTCTTATCATCTTGCCCAGGTTGTTAAAAAAGCCCTTCCCTCTCCCTGCCGTTTTATAACCTCTTTTTGCCCTATGTGATTGGGACATATTATTAGAAATAGTTAATATATAGTAAGTTATTATTATTTATCAGGATGAAAGTGAAAAAGGTACATAAACCAATAGATCAAGTTTGAAATTTGGTTTCTGCAGTTATTAAAAATACCTTAGAAAACAACCAGCACGCAGACTCTGTTTTCATTGCTTTCCTTAAAAACAATTTGTGCCACACCAAATGTAGATCTTTCAATTCTTTTAATATAATACTATAAATCCATAATATTAATATAATGTAATATATTAAATTACAGAAAGGTGACACATTCCAGTTACTCTGACATAAGTTTTTTTTAAAGAACCATATATACAACATTAATTGAGCTAGAACTAAGAGCAATAGGAATACTTTTGGAAGAGTAGGGCAATATAAATAGTTTCATTTCCTTTCTTTTTCGGACTTCTCTTGTATTCAGTATTGTTATTTGCTCTGGATGTAATTTAGATAGGGAAAGAGGTTATTGGGAGAATACTAAACAAACATTCAGAAAAGTATTGGAGGAGACTATTAATTAAAACAATAACACTGAGAATATGACCTGATTCCAGAAGGTACAGATTTTTATTCTGTTTCTTGCAGAAGATGGGGTTGCTGAAGCCCCTCAACTAGTTGAAGTCTTCAACCCTTCAGCAAGGGCTGAAAACTTCAACTAGTTTAAGCATGTGTTGTATGCAATGGATATACCATACATGCATTTTCTTTGTACAGGTTTCAGTACAAATACATCTGTGCTCCCTTCCGCTGAAGATCTTTCAGTTCTGCCGGTCCCTTTTTTTTTTTTTTTTTGAATGACTTATTAAATTGTTTTGGTCTCTGAACTCTTGAGTTTATACTTTAGAAATAACCGTCATTTTTGACATTTACATTCTGCTGTAATATCCGCTTTTCTAATTTTACTTTTGAGACAGTCCTGAGGGCTAGCTAGTTATTTGGGCAAAGGCAGAAGCTAAGGAGCTTCATGTTTTGAAATCAGCAGGTTGTACACCTCCCAAAGACCTTATGGGACTTTTGTTATAGTGGCTGCTAACTGGAAACCTTGTATATTGGAGTTACTGGTTCTAGACCTCATTATTCTTATTTACTGCCCTTTGAGATAGAAAAGTATTTAGTCTACTCGCCATCTGCTAATTTTTCTTCCTTTCATTTTTGCCCTCTGTTACCATCTCTTTGGGATGGCAAGCCCTTTCTTTTATTCCTTACGGATTGCTCTGAAGCTAAGCAAGGTCAAGCCTGGTTAGTACTTAGACAGGAGACCACCACTGAATTCCAGGCCAGTGGAAAACATTCCAAAAGGCAGTAATAAACCATTCCATGATGCTGCCAGGAAAACTGCAAGGTTGCATCCAAGAAGCACCAAAAGTTGAGTTCAACTTGAAGGCATCTTTGCCTTTAGTGGTGTTACATAAATTATCAGCCACGTATAATCTGATTGGTTAAGTTCTGCTAGATGTATAGAATTCCCATTGGGTGGTCTCATGCACAAAATTATTCGCTCCACTCTTGTTCTACCTCAGGCAGCTTCGATCAGTGATTGTGTTGCTTCTGAACAACTGATGTTTTATGCTGTGTTTCAGGAATGTAGTAAAAAACAGAAGAATGATGATCCACAAAATACACCAGTTGATGTTCTCAGTTCAAATGATGAAAACAAAGAGGTAAATTCCTTTTAGGAATCTCTAAATCTCATTGCTCCCAAGCCAGTTTAAATTAGTCCTGACTAAGTACTTCTGAAGGCAGCTGGCATGAAGATAACCTCCTTCTTCCATTATTTTCAGCATTTAGTTGCAACTTACTCTTGTGGTTTCCAGCCAGCGTGTTTTTCTTTTCTTGTTCAGTTTCATAAATTCTAGTGCAGCAGATGGATTTCTGAGTGCCAGAATATTGAAAGGATTCTAATTCTGAAGAATTCCCATCATGTTACAATCCTGATTTTCCTGATCATACATTCCACTCTAATATCTATCTGAGGATTAACAAAATGATTCTGCATTTTAAAGTAAGCTCTTTGAAAGAAAGCATGTCCAGAATCCCATGGCAATATTTAATTCAGTACAAGTAATCATTCTTAATTACTTAACTTAATTCTCAAAGTACGTAAGTAGATCTTTAAAATCACAGGAATTTGTTTCAGCTCACTATTAAAATCTTTCAGAATCTAAATATCATTTCAATCAGAATATTTCACAGAAATATTTCAGTGTTGTGGAGAAGTATGTAACCAAGTGACCTAAGTAAATGCTTTCTTGCTGCCTTGCCCCAGTTACATCTAGCCATGATCCAAATGTATGCCAACTACATCTTTGGTCTGGCTTGGCGCCAGGATGTTGCGTTGATCTTGCCTCTAGCCCCAGTGTGAAATAATGTTACATCCTCCTTAGCTGTATGAGGGTTAAAGTAGTCTTTTGCAAGGTCAGCCTCAACTTGGGTAAAGTTGGCGTGGCTTTGTCCTCCATTATCTTGGAGGGAAGTCAGGTGATTGGCAGTGACTGGGAACAAAATCCACAGAGGCAGGATAGGGATTGGTAACAGAGACAGCCAATTTCATGCCAGTGGAGTATAAATTGAATTGAATTGAACAAATTAAATTAATTTAGGCTTTCTACCCATTCAAGGATGTGGGGGGAGGGGGGGCGGAGAATTAACTTGTCAGTAGGGAAAAGCTGTTAGGATTCTCTTTAAACCAGACTTGGATTATTCAGTGGGGAGAGGATTCCTTCAAATAAGGAACTAACCTAGTAAAGTGAGGTACACTGCTGTCTTCATCTGAATAATAGCATTCAAATTATAGGGGTGGGAGTAGGGTGAAACTTTGCCACTTTGCTTTTCTTTCAACCAGCTACTTTTTTCCAAAGGCTGGGGGGAACCTCTGATTGATCAAAATGGAGGGGGTAAAATTAGGGGACCTACAGGTTTAATTAAGGGCTGTGCATTTTCCTCCATAATTCAAGTGTAATACACAGAGCTCTTACCTATTGTATAGCACCTAGTAGTTCATTACTTATTATTTCTATATTACTGCACTAGATTTTTTTTTGTCATCACATTTTCTTGATGGATTTTTTTTTAATGTATTCATTTCCAGAAAAGTGAATTCCATAAGTTGGCTAATGCTAAAATATTCCTTAGTGACTGCCTAGCTTGTGACAGTTGCATTACAGCAGAGGAAGCAGTCAGAGTTTTCCAGCAGAATCAGAATGAGCTCTTCCGTGTTCTAAACCTTAATAAGGTAAAGGGGGTGGTGTTTATATGCCTATACATGTCCAGAAAGTTTTCTGCACTAACATGTCACTTTGAAACAGCCTGGTACATCCAATCTCTTGTTCCCCTTATTTTGCCTTCTCTGTTTCCCTGTTTTCAGGCTTTATCCTCTGAGATCTTTCCTTAAAGCTGTTCTCAATTCTCCATTACTTCTTCCCATACTCATGCTATAGCCAAACATCTGTTACTTGTTCCTTATATCACCAACTCTTCAAAGCCATTGTTTCTAATTAGTGACTTCTCAGTCCCTGAAAAACAATGTTGTTGATGACGATCATCGTTTTCCCAGGGATATGATTTGAATGGTATTTTTTAAAATTCTTCCCTTCTTTTTTAATTCCACAGATCCAGTTTATCGCTAAATCTCTTGGCATCAAATTTTGAATAATTCTAATGCTTGCCTTTTTATCTCACTGCCACGATTCTGGTTCTCCATTTCTTTCTGAGTTACTGGAACAGACTTACAGTTGATCTCATTTGAAATCTTTTCCTCTCTTTCTAATTGTTATTGCATACCATTTTGCTTTCCTTTTTAGCCTTTGCCCTGCATCCTTCTCGCTTCCTGCATGCAATGTGGACAGCCTCACCCATTCAAAGCTTTTCATTTGCTTACTCTGCCCTACCTTTCTTCTTTCATTCAACACACCCACTTATTTGCTTCTATCATTAATCTTCCTCCTACTCCTCCTTTTCTTTTCTAATCAAAAAAATTCCTTCCCACCCCCACATTGGATAAATTTTTTCTTTGGCCCTATTTTAGTTTTGGAACTTTTCCCCACCTGATATTCAGAAAGCTCCTTTGATTAACCTTGTTAAATAAATGTTTATTTAGGATTGAGGGGGGAAAACCCTATTTTCACTTTACTCCTTGATTTTTTTTCTCCCATTTCCTTCTGGTCTCTTTCCTATTGTTTTCTGTTTATTGTTTAAACGTGAATCTGTGAGCAGGCTTTTGCTTGTGAATGTATCTTCTGGATATTTTATGTTACACCTTCAAACGCTGGGATTTTATCTTTGTTTTCTATTGTTATTTTTTGTTTTTTATATTGTCCTGATTTAGCTATTTATTAAAATGGGGGATGTTTTGTTTTTTCCTAATGTTATATGCCACCCAGAGTCCTTTAAGATTGGGGCAGGTTATAAGCATTGTAAAATATATAAATACTGTAAAATACATACATGCAAGCAAAGGATCAGTGCAACCCAAGTCATAGTAGGCATATCCATTGAAGAAATAATTCAGCATGGACTTCATGATAAATCTGAGTTTGTTGCTACAAATTCTGTAAATTATCTTTTACTAGATTTTGTTTCTCCTGAAAAAGAAAAGTCCCAAACTGCTCACATTCTGTGTTGAAGAATCAGTAGATGTTCAACATATTTTGACCAAAGTGTAACTCTAGAGATTTTTAAGCAGAGTATAATGTGAGACAGCATAACTCAACTGCAGAACACTTTTTTGAGTTCAGATGTGTCAGAGGTTATTTCGACATCATATTCCCTACATTGGCTGCCTTTACAAGCCGCAGTGGAATCAAAATTCATGTCATGACATCCATTGCAGATGCGTAAGTTGTGTCGTTTGTGTATTGGTGAACACACCTGCGGACACCAATGGCTCCCTGATTAAATATTCTATTTGCCGTCATAGGAGAACAGTTCTTCAGTAAATAACTGAGATAGAATCTGTACCTTTTGTTCTCCTCTTGCTCTTCCTTACTGCCACAGGAATTGTCTTCCTGGTTCTTCATTTTTTTTTTCTTTCTACATATTATCTAAGGGGATGTGCTTGGAGAAAATGCAGTTTAGATCTTTGATCACCAAATTTACAATTCCACAAAGCAGTTTGCCCCTAATTCTTAAGTATGGGAAAGCAGGAGACCTTGGCTGAGCTAAATTGCAAAAACAGAGCCAAAAAGTCTTTTGTTTGTTTTACATTATAGGTCTCTGGCTTTGGGTTTAAGCGAAAGGTGGTAGCTGAGGGCTGTTTTTTAATTTCTCAAATTAAAATTTAATTAAATTTTATTTTAATTATTTAATTTAATTTAATTTAAAATTAAATTAAAATATCCCAAAATAGTGGGAGCATTGTGAAAACTAAAATATCTACAACTGCTTCTCCCAATCAGGGTTGCTGAGGCACTAAGGTAGTCATCCAGGCTGGTGTGCCTTCCTGTGGCTCTTGACAGATGTCCAGAGGAGCTGATGCAGACCCAAAGGAAGGCCAGTAGCCACTAGAAGCTACCATTTTTCTTTCACTGCCTGAAGAAATAAACTGTAGTATGATGGCCAGTTCAATTTCGTCCTCCCTCTCTTTTTCTTGCCTTAATGAGGGAGAGAAGACAGCAGAAACACCAACTCTTTAACCCAGGGCTTTATTTGCCTTAGTAGGAATTGGCACCAGGATGTGAAAAGCCAAGTTCATTTCTGTGTGAAGCAACATTGTTTAATGTGAGAAAGCCATCTCTTGCATAAGCTAGGCTCTAAACCGTTGCACTTAATGCACTCATCTGTTTTATTTTGTTTTCCAGAAGTGTGATACCTCAAAACACAAAATATTGGCAGTATCTATATGTCCTCAGTCCTTGCCTTATTTTGCTGCCAAATTCAATCTCTCAGTAACAGAAGCAGCTAGGAGGCTTTGTGGTTTCCTCAAAAGTCTTGGTAAGTTTGCTGTTAAAGGGAGAAAAGAAAAGAAAGCTGAAGACAGCATTAAAAAAGTTTTTTTGGTTTTTTTTTTGCATTGTTGCTTCCTAGGCAGATTTTTACGGCATGTGTGTCAGGGTACAGGCAAGGGTTGCAAAATGGTTGAGATAAGTGAGTTGTTTATGGACATGACCACAAATGTTATAAATGAGGATATAATTGGGCAGTTAAGGCAATACAGCCAAGGCAAGATCACATAAAACCTTTTCGTTATGTTTTTTTTTTTTCACAATTAGACATCTAAAAGTTCATTGTGCTGTTGGCAAAAAATAAAAATGTCTAGTACAAAGTTTTAAATCTTTCCAAGATTTGTACATCCCCTGGAGATAATCAGCTGCCATGAAGAGGTTTAGAGGGAAAGACCAGGATTGTATCTGTTGGCCCTACCTCCTCTCCTTATCCAAAGGTTTAGGCATCTGGGCTGACATCTGGGAAGAGAACTACATGCTTCCGCCTGGATTGTACGATCCTTGCCCACTGCTTTTGCTGGGGAGAGATGATATAATTACAACCTCTTCTTGTGGAAGTAGACATCATTTTGAATGCAAGAACAGAAGTGAACCTGATGTCATACACATATATTCCTTTACATCAATCAGTAGTTTCCTCAACTAAAGTATCAATATAACAGTTGATACTAAATTGATACATAACAATACCCAGTACACCGCTTGAAGGAAAAATAACAGGGGAAGGCTATTGTTAGTTCAGCTATAAGCTGATATCTTAGAAAGCTGTGGCACAGGAAAAAGAGAAGTTGTTATGCAGCTGAAGATGTCTTCAACGCTTGTGTTGTTTTCACATTTCATCCTGTGGATGGATCACTATTTCTTTTAAAATTACCTTGCCAGTGAAGTTATAAGATCACCTATTAAACCTTCTTATCCTCTTCCCTGCCCATGCTGTGGATAACCCAAAGGGCTGCCTTAGAAATCATACAGACCTGATCTGGGTTTTCAGCAGCCAGAGATGGGCATCTACCTCTCCTACAGCCTGATTCCCATTTTCCTCAGTATTTGAATGGAGAAGATATAGTACAGCCACAAGCACATCTCCATTTAAAAGGATCTCAAGAGATAATTGGAAACGTTCTGCTCAAGTGCTGCTGTCAGGCAAAACATAATACTGGGCACTAAATGCACAATTTATAGTGTGTACTTTGTCCCAGGGCAGCTTCCAGATGTTTCCTGTGGTTTTGTATTGCCCTTCAGAACAGAGCAAGCCTTGCTTACTTTAGAGAAGCGCTTAATTCATGGACCTCCAGAAAAGTTGCCCATGTCCTTTACATTTGAAAGTAGATCTGGTGATCCATATGTATTCTCCATCTTCAAGTCTTGTTCTTTTTCACCCTCCGCTGCCCTAATGAATGATGAAGAATCCAAATAGGGAAGGGATAGTAGGAAGGACAGTAGGACAGCAGGAAGGATAGTAGGATAGTAGGCTGCAGGGACAAAAGGTTTGAAGATCTGATCAAATTTCTCAGCAGGAAGGAAGGTCTGTTAGCATATCCTATAGAATCAGCAAATAGATTGCAGGTGGATTAGAGATTATCTTTTAAATTGCTTCCTGGGTGGGTGGATGGAGGGGTTCCATTTTTTAAATGTTCTCCGCATGAAAAGTTTCTGCAAATAAAGATTGAAGAATGCATAGGACACGTGCAAGAAACAGCATAGCCCAGGAGAAAAAAGTAATTCAGTTCTGTAATTGACCTGTTCTCTAGGAGTACATTATGTCTTTGACACCACAATAGCTGCTGATTTTAGTCTTCTGGAGAGCCAGAAGGAATTTGTGCAACGGTACCGCCAGCAGAACCAGGAAGAACACGCCTTGCCAATGTTTTCTTCCGCCTGTCCAGGTGAGAAATCCAAATACAGACCTAATTTACTTTTCCAGTGTTCACTGTAATGAGGGATGAGTTCCTTTAATAATGATGAAGATGGTGGGTTTCCTGAAGTTTGATTTTCTCAGTTGGCTGTCTTAGAGTTTCATCTATGTGTTGGGAAATTAGATTTTATTTAAAAAAAACATAGCAGCTAAGAAAATTCTGTTTTTCCATTCAGAAGGTTGGTACCAGTTTCACTTCTGTAATACTCCTTTGCAGTTGGTAATATGCAGCACTACATTCTCATAGAAGAGACATCCTGTTTTGGTTTGTTTTTCCCATTCCTCTCTCATAATGTTACTCTTTCACATTGCTAACAATATAGTTTATATCAGGTCAACTTACCCCAGCTTTCTTGTAATGGAGCATTCAAGGAGTGTGGTTCAAATGCTCTGATTTCCTGCCACTTCCCTAGGGTTTTCTTCTCATTTTTTAAAAAAGCATTATTTTTCAATCCTCTGCATCATATTTGTCTCACTGATGTTGGCAAAGCAGTTCAAACAAACAATGTTACAGAATAACATAATGCAGAAATAATTTTTAGCATATGGACAGAAACCAGTATCTGTTTCATCTGGAGTAACATAAGTTTAAAAGTTACTTATTTTCATCTGTGTCCCACATTCCAGTATGTAGATGAACTACTGTATACTAATTTTCAGCCACGTGTCTTTGGATATCACAACCAGTAAGGGAGAGAGAGGAAGGAAGGAAGGATGGACGGATGTTAGTTTAAAACATATATTGTAAATGTATTCTAGGTAAATGTGTTCTAGGTAAATCTGGAGCCAAGACAGAATGGACAAAGAAATTGTGGAAGAAGGCCCAACAATTTTATGAGTTATATTTACTGGGAGTCAATTTTAATAGAAATAAAAAGAAACATAAACTGAACATATATGTTTTATTGCTGTAGTCCAGGTTTATAAGTAGAGAGAGCTGACTGGCCACATACATAGCTGGATTCTTTTATCTCCATTGCATTTTACTTCCAAGTAAACTCATAACAAATAGGCAGTAGCGCCAAAACTCATAGACCCTTGCACATTTTGTTGTTTTATTTTAATATAGAAATTTATAAGACCACCCAACTCTACAAGACTCTGGGTGACATACAGTAAAAGCAACCATAAAATGCAGTTAGTTGTAAAATTCAATTGTATTCTGCCTTACAGCTTGTCTGGCAAGTAAAAAGGAGTTGCTAAAGTTTTGGACAGATGAAAATTGATACTTCAGGCATTACTACTGCAAAGCCTCCTATAATTTCAACTGGACACATGTAAAATGTTTGGCTGAAATGTTCAACTTTTGGACACTCCTACAGAATCTTATCATGATTGTAATGTGTTCAGCAGAGGGTTCAGCTGAATTTTCAGTCTTAGCTATAAGACTGTTACCAGAAAACCTGAAATCTCTGTGCCATGACTTTTCTTTCCTCCTCTTCCACTCCCACGTTAGCATTGGGGCTTCTCACCCTTTTCTCAGCCAGCTCTTCTCCATTTGGACTGAAGCACAACCTTGGTTGGGAAGAATGAATGGCAGCTTTAGTCCAAGACACACAGGGCACAGGGCTGTGAATGGCTAATATAGACTGTCAGCAGTGTTTCTGTAATGAGGAAGTGCTCTGGGTCTGGGCTTCAGCTTTTCTCTAACCATATTTCTGGAGTCCAGCCTTGGAGCTGACTATGCAGAAAGGGCTTGGGTGCTTGTATCAATGAAGATAAACCCCTTCTGGAGCCTGCTGCTTATACACCAAGACAGTGTGCATTATCATGCAATGGCAAATGTGAAATTGCAAGGCTAATACGTTAATACGCTGAATTCTGCTTTTCTTCCTATCAGAACAAATACTTGGAGGTCACTCAGCTTACATAGTGACTCATGCTATAAACCGGTTCTCGGCTTAGCTCATTACACTTTGCTGAGACTTGTTTGATCAGAAATTATGAGACTCAGAGGCTCTGGAAACTCACCTTCGATGTATAGCATGGAGATGAGTCATTGCAATTACTTTTGGAGACCTCCATCTTTCTTTCAGGGAGTCACAGCTGTATTGCACGTTGTATTTTCTTTACATAACCTGTAACATGTGTTTCAAAAGGGAACCAACCAGTGTATTACAGCAAGCTCATTATTTTCAATTTAAAACACCCTCCCAATGTAAAACATAATGCCTCTTTTTCACTCTTTCTCTCGCTATTGGAAGCTTTCTATCTGCAAATGTGAAAGGACCAGAAATTCATTTATGTGTAGATATGAGGGTGAAGCCAAGGAAGACGAGGAGGGAGGATAAGGAAAAGCAAGTGCACGCTCAGATAAGTTGGACAGAAGTGTCAGCTGGCTGCTATTGCTTGTCCTAGGCTTTCAAGAGGGAACGGAGAAGACTTGCAAATAGGGAAGAAAAAAATTACATTTGTTTTTCTAGATGGATTCAAAGCATCTTTGTGGCTTCTTCTGAACTAACCTAAAGAAGAGCCTTTTTATATGCATTGACAGAAGAAAGAAGCACATCCACTAAGAGTCTTTTTTGGATGTGATGACTGAAGAAAAATGTGTTGATTGAGACTTTGCTCCCCCAATTAAAGCCCTGGGAACTCAGCCAGTCTAGAATATACAGTTCTTCCTATGTGTCCTGCCCTAAGAGGAATTCTCAGTGGGATGCCATTCAGTGTAGTGGAGAACGCATGCCTCTGGCAGTTTATGTTGCTTTTGCCCCCTTTTTTAAAGAGTTGTTAAAATACGATACTTCAGCACTGACCAACATCCGGCAGCCATCTTGGCTTTCCCACAGGGCCTTGCATATTTTTATTTACTTATTTATTTCCCAACTCTAGGCAGCTCACACAATAGGATTAAAACATCAATTAAAAATAAAAAATACTAAGTCATTCTAGAACATTATGGGAGGAATAATGATTGCTATTGCAAAATACTGTTGAAGTGTCATTCTAATTTTAAAGAGGGCCCAGTACAGGTATTCAGGCTGGCTCCTCCTAGGATTTTTGAGGCCAAAGATCTGCCTGACTAACTCAGAATGTTGGCAGCCATTTATGCAGTCCAAAATAATTTCTCATTAAAAGAAATCTCAAAGCAGTTTAAAATCAAAAATTGCAATTGCAATTTAAAAAATGGGTTTCTAATTAAAAACCTTGAATGAAACATATGTCAAGATATTTTTGATTGATGCCTAAATTCTGTTTCATTAACATCACCATAGTTCACAGTAGCAAGGCAGGGAGTTTCAGTCCAGTTCTTCTGAGGTTCGTGCTTTCCTTCACCTATCCAGACATGCAGTAGCTGTTGTTTGCTCTCTGTGATGCCATCAAGTAGTCAAATGCGATTGGAAACGTAGTGTCATCACATTGTTATGTTCATTATATAGTCCCTACTTGGATAATGTTATGTAGGAAGAGGAAAAAAATCTAAAAATGGTGTTGCAGGAGTTTCAGATCTTGGCTATAAAAAGACTTGAAAAAATGTGAAAAATCATATTTCTGGGGAATCTTATTGTACCTCATCCAAATGTTCTTGCAGCCCTGAAATATTTGCAGAAAACATTTGGCACTGCAAAAGCAAAATATTGTAGCCTTACTGATAGCTTCAGCCCATCTTCTGCATATTTTCCTTTTTCATACATGCATAGCCTTGTGTGTGGCCTTGTATTGTTGAGGCTGCTAAATCCAGGCACCCAACTTGGTACCTTCTGGCCTATAATTTCAGCAACGGCAGGATGCTTATTACTGGCATTGAAGAAGAAGATATCCTTGCTGAAAATGTATGGAAATAAGTTGGATTTGCTGAACATCAAGCCTGGAAATAATATTGGAAATGTAAAATTTTCCTGTGAATCTGGCATTCACTCCTGAAGCAACCACACTGGCTCAATTCTCATGTAACAATCCAAGTCTTGGGAATTTTCTCAAAGGCCTAATGTCTGCAGGCTGATGGTCCCTAGGAAGGCTGTTCAATGCTGAGATTCCAGAGAGCAAACTAATTACATCCACATGGCTTGCTGAACAATTTCTTTCTTCATTATCAATTCACCATCACAGTGACACAAGTGTACAGTATTTTTGAAACATGGCTTTGTGTTTGTCTTTTTCATGTAATTAAATTTTAACTTCTTCAGTTAGGAATATTCCACCCACTTCAATCCCTCTTTTACTAATTCTGTTTGTTCCTTCTAGGTTGGATCCAGTATGCAGAGAGAGTCCTGCCCAGCATGGTAATTCCACATATTTGCACTGCGAAGTCACCACAGCAGATCATGGGTTCCCTTGTGAAGGGTTATTTTGCCAGACAGCAGGTACTGGTTTGTAGTTTCTGATTTGGGGGATTTAACTGTGTTTGAGAGCAAAATGGTCTTTTCAAATCCTGGTCTTTGATGCTCGTTCCTGGGATCATTTTAAAAAGGGTTTTATCAAAGTTAGAGTCTGCTTCTAGTAAATACGAGCTTTATAAAAGCATTCAGCCAACTTGGAATCTTCTCTGACATCAACTTGTGCTCCTGGGCAATGCGGGCAGGCTTTTGCTAGCACTTATCCCTTGCTACTAGGACACCTTGTTGTTAAATGAAGGGCTAGAGTGTGTATGTGAAATCTTCCTGATAAAGGGCAGCACAGTATGTTTATTCACTGGTTTCAGTGATTTGCCAGTTCTTATCTGCTGTATTTTGGCTCCTTGGAAGGTTTTGGTGCCAGCATTCCAGGATCCCCATGTCCCATATGAGCAAAGACCATGGAACTATAATGTTGTCCTGGCAGTGCCCAGACAATTACATTATATCCTGTAATGCCAAGGTCTGCATTGCAGGACAGGGACAGGTAACGACACGTCTCCCTTGATGACCCTTCCTATTCTGTCTTCAATTTAGAGCAAAATTTAGAGTGCTAGATTGCTATTATTTAAAAGATTTATGTGGCCTCTCATCTTAGAGCACAACTCTGGGCAGCTCACAACAATAATAAAAACTACAATCCGTAAATTGTTCTGGGTCACCATTGCTGTAGTCCAGCGCACCAGCCCCTGCAGGGGGGATTTCATTTAATCACTTTTCCATATATACACTGCCTCTCCAATGTAGATGGTTCACCAAGCAAGCCACATATTAAAAAACATAGGGAAACAAATATGAAGGCCGACCAGGACAGACTAAGGGAGTCTAATTTCCAACCTAATAAAATCTAAATTCCAATAGAAGAGAATATCTGATGATGTTACCTAGTTGGGTAATGAAATGTCTGCAAGCGAACAACCAAGCTCAGAGAGTACCAAGAACTCCACCAAATCCAAATTCTGTAAGAAACGCTTTGTGAAAAAATGTCGCTGTGTATATGTGTAATGTATTTTCTTTTTTCTTTTTCCATCAGAATCTATCCCCTGATAAAATTTTCCATATCATTGTGGCCCCTTGTTATGACAAAAAGTTAGAGGCATTACGAGAAGACTTTTATACCCATTTGTATAACTCTCAAGATGTAGATTGCGTTTTAACATCAGGTAGGTATCTTCTTTACAATATACTGCAATTGTATTTTATTCATTTTAAAAATTTATTTTAACAAGGACATTGATGGGGGCATACAGTCATGTAGCAATAAGGCTGGCTCTGTAAATATGATTGGGCATTTTAAGAGAAAGAGAGAAGGATTGGCAGGTGGGATGGGATGGTAGTTTACATTTTGAAATATTGTGATAATGCTCACATTTTTCAGCTTTGACATTCTATTGGATTATTTTTGTGTCTGGACATATATGGGGACAGGAGATCCTTCTAGTAAGATCTGTCCTGATCATATATAAAACAGGCAATGGGGGATGCACTTTTAATAGCAAAAGGATACATAGATGCTAAATTCTCTCCCCACCTATAACTTAACTTCCCAGAATCTTTCTTCATGTGCATTTGACATTCAAACTGAGACTGGCTGGGAGAAATGTATCAGAGTGAAGTAAGCTGTGATTGAGAAGACTGTTATGCTTCTGTCCTTTATATTCTTTAAAGTGAAACATGCCAGGGCCAGCCCTGTCATTGGGGAAAAGGTTGAATGTCCAAGGGCAGCATAAGGTTTCCAACTAGTTTATTATTCTTCTAGTTTTAAGAAATTGAGAGCTGAAGAGAGGTCTTGTATAATTTTTATCTCAAATGCCAAATGATTGTCTTCCAGTACTAATGAATCTTGATTTGTTATTGGGGACAAGGAGATCATAATTTTCAGTTTCACAGGGACAATAAAAATGTATTTGGCTACCGCATCTTAGTTAGGTTTTTAGCACTAAGTGTGCATAATAAATGGGAGAATGCCCATCTTGGCCTTGAAGTACAAGAAGAAGGTGAAAGCACAAGGTATCAGCCAACATCATGCAAGAGCATGTTTGATGATAAGAGGGGTAACCAAACAAACAAAAAAAATGACTAACCAGCATCAGCAGCTACATTTCACTCTGTTGCTGGATTGCCCAATACTAACTCAGTGCCCCTCGTTTCCACCCGTGGATGTGGCACTTAAAGAGAAGGGACAGAACCCCTTTCTCTCTGCAGTTACCAAGCAGCATTCCACCACACTGCCCTTGGCTGACTTCCCCGGAAGCCCATTTGTCTCTTCTGACATAATGAGAGCTTAGAGGATTCAAGATGAAGCAGGACATTTTGATGGAAGGGAATAGATCCCAAAAGCTAAAAGTAAATCTGGACTGGACCTTGACTGGACCATGCCATTGATTTTAAAGTCAAAGTCCTTTGAACGTTAGTTATTCTGCAGTACGTTGTGCTAGACCCCTGTCTTTTACCCTGCAGCCACATTTCCTTGCCATTTATATATTGAGTTCATTGAATGAGAAAAATACATTTGTTGCTGTCATGGGCAGGAAAGGTAGTATAAACTGCAACAGGAAGCAGATGAAGTGCAAGAACCAAATAGCAAATGAAATACAACTCAAGTAAAAAAGCATGCAGATCGGGACAAACAAATGTGTGCAACCAAGAAAAAGAGATGTTTAAAGTTACAGTGAGTAACTCTGTGAAAACATCCAAGTGGAATCCAGAAACAGTGAAAAATGGGAAATTCCTTGCCCAAGGATTGAAAAAAGGATTGAAAATTGTAGTAATTTCTTGATACAGCTTTATGGTGTGACCACAGTGTGGCTGCCCCATCTCAGAAGGGGTTTTACAGCTTTGAAAAGATACAGAAAAAGGTAGTTCTAAGGATCAAAGGGATCCTTTTGAAGTTCTTCTCTATTAAAAAAAAAATGGAAACATTTGAGATTTTTTTAAGGAGTAATGCTTTGGAAATGTGAAAAAACTCTGCCCCCCCCCCTTTATTTTTATAATACTAGGGTCACCCAGTGAAACTGGCTGGTGGTAGATTCATGACAGATCAAAGAAAATACTTTTTCACATTATGAAATTTACTACCTCAGTGGGCTTCTCCAAATTATCAGATTTATCGTGACCAGAAACGAGATGCTGGGCTAGATGATTCTTTGTTCTTCTCATGTCCTGAACAGTATAAAAAAGACCTTAGCAGATAGTAACTCAGTAACTAGCTGAATTTGGCTGATTTCTGAAGCTAACTAAGGTCAGACCTAGTTAATATTTGGATGGAAGCCCTCCGGAGACTCCAAAAGCTGTCGTCTAGATAGAAGGGTTTGAAAAAAAAACTGTCTAAGAGAAAGAAGAATGTAATAAAGTGCTTCTCTGGAAGATTCATTTTCATCCACTCTTAGTGGTCTTGTTATGTATTTAAGAATGTTTTCTTCCTACAGGAGAAGTCTTCCAAATGATAGAGCAAAGAAAAATATCACTGAATGAAATAAGTGAGGTGCCCTTTGATACCTTGTAAGTAGCTTTGATAAGCTTTTCTTTTGATGATTTTCCTGAAAAGAATCACCTTTATGCATCTCCATCAGATGAAAGCATTTCAGAAGCACAAGTATGAATTACTATGGCCTTCACATTTCGACACTATGTAATGCTGTGATCCTGTTAGGAGTTGGCTTGTTTCAGCATGCCACCCTTGTAAAACTCAGTTGCATATCCAGAGATCCTGATCGAGCTTGGGTAGCTTTGGACTATACTGACTCCCACCCCCATCACCTCTGTTGTCTGCTGTCCTTTAGCTCCCCTTGGCAGAACTAAAGTATTATCCAGCTTCCTTCTCCCCTTCGTCTTCTTTATCAGCAGACACAAGAAGAAAGGGATTGAGGCAGCCAGCAGCTCCTCCCTCCCTCCCGCAACACATGTGTAGGCGACACTGGAACAGCATGATTGCTCAGCAGCTCCCATCCAAGCAAAATATTGACGCTGCCAGATAGGTTGGCTTCTGCTAATGTGAGCTTCTACATCCCCTGACAGTTACACTCCAATATGCACTCACTCACAGTGCGAAAGCAAGAGCTACTGCTGGGCTACTGTAGAGGTGATGGAGTGCCGTGCCTAGAATGCAGCACTGGGACACAGTCTTTGCTAGGTTGGGCTGATGCTGGGCCTACATGCCCATCCTGGAGATGCACTTGCTATAGAAGCGTGGAATGTTTATCATAGCACATAAGTGGGATACCTCCTCATTGCAGGATGTTGTATGGTTTGGAAGTAGTAACACCTACTCTTTCAGAAGGCAAACTGCTACTTTACTGTGGCACAAATGCCATTTTTAAAGCATTGGGTGTTGCCTTAAAATCTAAGAATTATATTATGGTGCAGGTCTTCATAGCCCACTGCCCGTTTTATTAGATACGTTGTCTTTGGCAATATTTGTAAATATATGTATTTTAGTCTACCAGAAACCAAGCAGCCAGGGAAGACGAGATGTGCTTACAAGATCAAATATACAGTCAGGTCCAGAAATATTGGGACATCGACACAATTCTAACATCTTTGGCTCTATACACCACTACA